AAAAAACAGGGGGACCCAGAGACAGGGACAGGGAAGTGCGAGGATGCAAACTCCCCACATTACTAGATTAGAATTTTAACTTTTTTTTTTTTTTGGTACCAGGGATCAAACTTTGGACCTTGCACCTGCGAGGCAGACACCAGAACCACTGAACTAAATGCCCGGCCCCTCAGATTTTTAAAATATATACGCACTACCTATTTTTTAAAATGTATTGTTTTGTTGTTGGTTTTGTTTTTGTTTTTTGGTACCGGGAATCGAACCCAGGTCCTTGCACTTGCGCAGCAGGTGGTAAAACCACTGAGCTAAATCCCCAGCCCTAAAATATATTGTTTTTAAAAGCAGTGGTCCTACTTTTAAAATTAATAATCATTATTCAAATGATAGTTATCTCGTGAGGACACATAATTTTCTGAAGAAAGGGAAAACAAAATATTGGTCAATAATACACATTTTAAATAATAATACACAGTAATTGAGAAATAGTAAATGCAAAAGTTTAAATCCCCTCTCTCAGTGGAACATGGTGGTACACACCTGTAATCCCAGCACTCGGGAGGCTGAAGCAGGAGGATTGCTGCAAGTTTGAGGCCAGCCTGGGCTGCACAGCAAGACCCTCTCTCAAGAAAAAGAAAACAAACAAACAAACAAAAAAATTCCCCTTTCTCCTTAGCATCTGAGAATTATTTCCACCCAGGAAATAATTGTTTTGTCCAGGAAGAAAAAAAAAATCTGATCACACATCCTGTGAGAATCTCCCCACAAATGACACTCAGTTATTTAATTGGGCTGGGGATGTAGCTCAGTTGTGGAGGGTTGGCCTAGTGTGTATCCTCGGGGTTCAGTCCCTAGGACCGTAGAACGAACAAACAAGAACTTTAATCATAAGAACTTAGCTGTAAGACAAAAAAAGTAAAAACTGAAGGCCATTTGTTCCTGTTGCAGAAGCCTGGGTGACTCGTGTGTGTATGGGTGGCAGCAGGGAGAGGGGACAGGAGGAGCAGGACTTCCTAAAGCTGCCGAACCACGAGGCTCACTGAGAGCTCCTGGTGGTACCAAATCCACTGCTGGACAGACCTCCCGGATCTGCTATGTGGCCCATGCCAAACACAGCCGGAAGTTCCTGCCCCATGGGCTTTCACATGCCAGGAGTGGGAGGTCAATAGTAAAGTTTAATGGTGCATAAGTAAGGTACCCATAAGTGCTAGGGGGGATTAAAAACAAGGCAGGGAAAGGGAATGGGAAATCAAGAATGAGGGGCAAGATTTCCAGTTTCAAAAACAGTTTCACAAAGGGCAGCCCGAAAAGCCAACCATTGGAATGTTTGAGCAAAGACCAAAGTAACTGAGGAAGGAGCCTCCTGGTCTCTGAAAGGAATGGGAGAGTGTGTGCAAAGGCCCTGGGGCAAGCACTTCCTTGGGGATTTGCCAGACACCCCTGTAGTCAGGTTCTAGTACCCACCCGACCAGTATACGACACAGGCCTGAGAAAAAAATACACTAAGAGACAGAACTAAGAGAGAGAAGGCAGGGGCCAGGACGAACAATGCCAGTGCAACTGACAAAGGCTCCGGCCAGTCTCAGGCACTGACTTTTATCGGCAATCCATTGGGGGTAAAGGCGATGTGTGGTTTCTGTGGAAATGAATGTAAACAAGGCTCAGAAAGGACAAGACAGAGCATTCTGGAATTAGGAACAGAACAGACCAAATATGTGGTTGTACTTAGAACACTGTCCTTCTAGTCAGAAGGCTCTACTGTGGGAACGGAATTTGGGTGCGAGTTACCCTGACCTCAGCACATAGGCTTCAGCCAGACTCGCTTCTCCAAACCAGCAGACTGTGGGGCTAGCTCCTCACAGCCTCCCTGGGGTATGATCAGTATTATGACCTCTGCAGGAGTAGAGGAAGAGAAAGGAGGCGGAACTGGTTTTTTGTTTGTTTGTTTTTGTTGGGTTAGTTTTGTTTTTTGTGGTACTGGGGATCAAACCCAGGTCCTTACGGGTCCTTACGCTTGTGAGGCAGGTGGTGGAACCACTGAGCTGAATCCCCGGCCCAAGGCGGAACTGCTTTATCTGAGTAAGCAGAGGAGAGTGCAGGAGAGGTGCTCCGCGGAAGACCAGAAGACGCCTGCTGGCCGGAAGGACTTTGGCTGTCATTGGCGGAAGCGGTGTGATCCAACAAAGGCTCTGGAATCCTCAGCCTGGCCACGGTGCAGAGATGACGCTCAGCTGTGGGCAGAGGAGGGGCGGCAAGGGGAAAAGTGGGGAGACTGGTACAAAGGAGGCACAGAGCCCAGGCAGGAGGGGATGCCGGAAGGCCGGAGGACTCCAAGGAGAAGCTCCCCGTTTAGGGAGGAGGGAGGAGTAACTGTGGCCTCATCCCCTGGACCACCTGACTCCTCCAAAACGCAGCCCCTCTCTGCTTCTTCAGAGGAACTACGGACGCGGAGCTTCTCCAGCCCGTCCCGGGCTCACATTATGAGTCCGCTTTCCGTTCATCCTGCCATCGGTGGACTAACACGGAGCCTGGTGCCATTCATAATTAGCTAGCCAGCAACTTCTACTAGGGAACTGGAAAGCACCCGAAACACAGCCTGATTATCAGAGTCGGGGCTGCTGTGGCTTAGGTTCCAGAGGGGTAGAGCAGTTCGTTGATTTCATGGTTTTTTGTTGTTGTGGCTCAATGTGGTCAGTTTTGTAAATACCTGAAGGACACTGGGAAATCAGATGTGTCAGATGTTGGGTGTCCCTTTAAACAGGTATGCACTACTTAAAATTTGGGGGTTTTGGGTTTTTTTTTTGGTACCGGTAATCAAACTCAGTTCCTTGCGCTTTTGGACCAGGTTAAGGAACCACTGAGCTAAATCCCCGGCCCTATTTTTTGGTGTTGTGATACAGGGTCTCACTATGTAGTTCAGGCTGGTCTTGAACCCACTAGGTAGCCCAGGCTGGCCTTGAACTCATGGCAATCCTCCTGCCTCAGCTTCCCAAGTGCTGGGATTACAGGCCTGTGCCACCATGCTTGGCTAAAAATATACTGTTTTTAAAAGCAGCAATCCCACTTTTAAAATTATCATTACTCGGTTAGCATTCTCTGAGCACAAACAACTATCTGAAGAAAAGATAAGAAAAACAAAATATTGGTGAATAATAAATATTTTAAGTAACAGCACATAGTAATTGAACAATAGTAAAATTAAAAGTTTAAATCTCCTCTTTCCTTAGCATCTAAAAATTATTTCTACCCATGTCCAGGAAGGAAAAAAACCCAGAAAACCATCATATCTTACATCCTATGAGATTCTCCCTACAAATGGCATTTACTACTTTGGGAGGGGATGGATGTAGCCTCTCTCTCCCACAGGGGTAAACTGAGTCAGCTCCTGGCACAGGCCAAGGAGGTATGGCAGGAACACAAACAGCAAAGTGGGGTCAGGCACATCCTTTTCTGGGGCAGATCCCCTTAGGTCAGGGCCTCTCAAAGCGGGGTCTGTCGACTGGCTGCACCAGCGTTATCCAGGGACTGGTCATTAAATGTCCAGATTTGGGGTCCTCTCTGCAGCCCTGCTGAATCAGAAGCACCTAGAGAGGAGCCTGGCAGTCTGTGGTCCTTCAGCGATGCACACACACGCACACGCATGTGCACACACACATGCACACACACGCACACGCATGTGCACACACACATGCACACACACGCACACGCATGTGCACACACACATGCACACACACACAGGGGATCAAGTCACGGTTCCAGATTCCCAGCTTCCCTTTCTCATCTTCTTACCTTCAGGAGAGGTAAACTCTCCGCAGTTGGAGATGTAGTGCAAAAGGAACTTGCTTTGTGCCTCTGCTTCCTCAGGCCCCTATCCGGAGCTTTATTAATTTGCAAATTAACCCTTTTTATGTAACATGCACACCATATATGCAGAGCAGATCCTTTCAAAGTATGTCATCTCGGGCAGCCCGACCCATGATTCAACAGCATATCGAGACCCTTTTCCTTTTGTGCAGCGCCTCTCCACAGAGAGCAGCAGTGGCAAAGTTGCCAAGTGTTGTTGTTTTTTAAACACTGTTCAAATCCGAGGCTGGCTCTTTCGGTGTTTGTGTGACTGCAGTAAAACCAACTGTTGTTTTGGCGTGGCATCTTTCAATGTATCAGGGTTTCTCTCTAAATAGGATGGAGGGAAACCCTTCTAGGAACGCGCTGGCAGTTCCACACACATAAACTCGGGCCTCTTCCTTCCACGTAATAAAAGTATGAGTCTTTGCAGCCACCCTCTGTGCTGCCACGTTCACCAAATGTGTGTTACGAAGCACGCGGAGCCCCTTCTCAGACCCTTCCCACTCCGGTGGCCCAGGCGCCTGTCTTGTCTGTGTTGGTCTCTTCATCCAATTTGAAGTAGACCAGACATGGCCCGGAATTTCACCTGAGCAGCAGATGTGGAATTGGCACTGACTCAGCCCAGCGAGTTTTCCCGCAGGCCAGCAGGGACAGGTCACGCTGCTGTCCCCATCCACCAGGGATGGAAACCCTGGGTGGGAAAGAGAAGCTGACGGCCTCAGTGGCAAAGGCAGAAAGAGAATCCCCTCATTTTCTACATCATTCCCCAGAGGCTGCTTTCTCTGGGTGGAAGCAGCCCCAAGTGACAGTGACAGTCCTGGCAAGGGGAAGAGAATGACTCCATCACAGCCTTTCAGTCATCCAGGGTAAACTAAGTCAGCTCCTAGCACCAGATGGGGAGCCAAGGCTTGGACATAAAGAGCAAAGAGACTCTGCCCATTCCTAGGGGTAAAGGAGGTGAGTTGGACGTGGTAGTGTAGGCCTGTAACCCCAGCATTCAGGAGGCTGAGGCAGGAGGATTGCTGCGAGTTTGAGGCCAGCCTGAACTACACAGTGAGACCCTGCTTCAAAAAGTCAAAGGCCAAAAGAAAGAAAATGTAGATGAATTGCCAGTGACTCCCAGAACCTCAATTTACCCTCCCAGCTCAGCCCAGCCCCCTGCAGCAGGCTTTGCGAGCCCCCAAGGCCAAGCCCGAGCAGCAGAGGGGCCCCAAGTGAGGAGCTCCTGCAGCGTGCACCCCGTCCCTCGCCTGCTCCCCTGCCAGGCCTCCCCAAAGACACAATTAAATGCTGCGGAGAGTTCCTTAACAAGATCTGGGACCCTTGTGGCTTGTTCATGACAACAGGCTGAAGCCACTGCGGAGCCTCATTCCCCAAACCATTGCGTCGTCAGCAGTTAAATCGCACAAGAGAGAGAAGGAAATGGGAGAGGGAAGGCAATGGAGCTGTCTCCAAACTCCTACTTGGCCACGGTACCGTGGGATCAGCAGAAACCTCTCCGCCACCTCCACTGTGGTTTCCACCTTGACTCTGCAATTTGGGAGCCTCCTAGGAAGGGGCCGGCTGGATGGCCAGACCTGGGTTCCAGTCCCGCCCCACCGATGTGGCTCAGCAGCACTGGGCAAGTCATCAGGCCTCTGTGAGCTCTGGTTTCCTCATCGAGAAATCACAGCTGCTGCAGCACCTCGTGGGCTGTCCTGAGGATCAACAACGCCTGTCAGTGCTGTTTTTAAAACGAAAGACATGCAAGACAAAGATATGGCCGTTGCCTTCTGCTCTTTGTCCCTTATGTATCTGCACCAATTCTCTAGCTGCCTAGTCATTCATTTCCTTTTTGTTTTATTTTATTATTTGTTTTTTTTGTTGAGACAATCTCACTATGTAGCTCAGGCTGGCCTCAAACTCGTGGCAATCTTCCTGCCTCAGCCTCCCAAGTGCTGGGATCGCAGGCATGCACCACCACACCTGGCTTCAGGCGCTGTTTGTGACTCCAGGCGTATGGTAGGGAAGGACAGAGACGGGTCCCATCACATGGGGGAAGCACACATTCTAGTGGAATGACAGAAAAAGATAATGAGCAGCTGGTTTCCTATGTGACAACTCTGCAGTCAACAAAGATGGAAAGGGGAGAAGGCGAAGCCTCACTGGTTCCACAGTGCCAGAGCCTGGGAATACTCGGGTCAGGGCACGCTGGGCTCAGGGACAGCCTGGACCCTGGCCATGAGAAGGCTGGCTCCTGGGTCTGAGAAGCTGATGTGACCACCAGGTGAGGAAATAAGGGAGCCAGAACTCAGGGGACTTCTTGACCCTATGAGGAGTTTGGATCTTATTACAATTGGGACAGAAGCCCATTTGTAAGAATTTTCAGCAAGGAAATTCATATGATCTAAACTTTTTTTTTTGAGGCAGGGGTCTCGCTACACAGCCCAGGCTGGACACAACACTTTCCATCCTCCTGCCTCAGCCTCCCAAGTAGCAGAGATTACAATCATGTGCCCGGCGGACCTACATTTTCGAGAGCTAGGATTCTATTTCTTAATGTTTTCCAACCATTTATTGAATTCAACTGAATCTCACCCCCACTCTGCCAAGAATTAGCCACATGACTTTGGCCCTTCCCACGGCTCTTCTTTGAGTGCAGGAGGCTTTAGCCCAGGGCTTGTCAGCCGGGCAGACACTTCCAGCTGTCTCCCCGGACTGGGAGGGCAGGTGGTTCCTCCAGCCTCCAGCATCTGCAGAGTCTGTGACCTCAAACCGCCCGAGTGGTCATAGAGTCATCCCAGCTTCCCGGGCCTCAGTTCCAACTGGATTATTATAGCTCCTTTCTCCCCAGAACGACGCAAGCCCCTCCCCAGACTCTCCACCACAAAGGGGAAATTAACAGTAACATAAAAAGTTAAGAAGGTGAGAGAACATTATCACTCTTGTCAACAATAAAATCTGCTGCCGATGTTCAGTTGTGAAGACGGGTGCATCTATTATTTATAGAATACAGATTGTTAAATATTAAATACTCGAGCCTGGGACCGTATGAGGGTAAAACCAGGAGTGTGAGCTTGTCAAAATCATAAAGATGGCAACTCTGCAAGGGTGAAGTGCACCCACGTTTATTGCTGTTTTTAGTGCCCTGTAAATTAAGGGGGGACCCTCCGATGTGTCGATTTCGAGTTCTAAGTGTCAGGCGTTATCCTTAGTGTAGCATCTGTCCATACTTAACTCTGCTTCAAAAGTGCCTGCCACCCCCTTGCCTAGAAATGTTAACTCTTTCAGTGGGGAAGTGGGGAGAGACTAGGTTTTCTTCCTTATTTACCGTCACAGGGAATGGAAGGCAAGTAAAGCATTTTATGAGGTGGTCATTTTTCTTATGGTTTATTTGCATGCTTGT